AATATGCTGATGATTCTTATATTTATACTCCTTTTCCTCTATCTAATCTCAATAATGTTCTTCATAATCTATCTTTATGTCTTTCTTCAATTATTACTTGATCTGACTCTATGTGTCTTAAATTTAATCCTTCTAAATTTGAATTAATTTGTTTTAATAAATCTAAACACCCTATTACTATTCATCCTATTATCTTACCAGATTCTAAAACTTTTGATGTTTCTCACATAATTCTAGCATGTCTCTTTCTTCTCAGATTAATAGTGTTGTTAGAAGTTTTAACTTTCATCAATGAAGAATAAAAAACTTTTGCCTTTTCTCGATGATCCTATTCTTCTCTTCTTGTTACTTCCTTAGTAATTAGTAGGATTGATTATTGTAACTCGCTCTACTATAGTCTTCCAGATTCTACACTCTAGCTTTAAGTAAAGCTTTTAACTCAGCTACTCTTCTAGTTGCTGGTGCCCCTTTCTTTTCTCATATATCTCCATATCTTGTTCTCCTGCACTGCTTAGCTATGAAATAAAAAATAATTTTTAAAATTTGCACATTTATGTATGCGTTTCAATCTAAATTATTTCCTCAGTACATATCAGATATATTAAATGTGCTGGTTCAGGATCCTCTTCTTGTTCTCACTTAACTCATGTTAAACACTCTTTTGATAAATCTGCTTTTGCTTTTTCAGGCCCTTTTTTATGGAACTCTCTACCTACTTCTCTGACTACTTCTCCATCACTTGCAAAGTTCAGAGCCGATCTCAAGACCCATCTGTTTGCAAAATTTGTTGAGAAGTGCTGTTGAACATCGCTTAACTAGCGCTTTATAAACTAACTGATTGATTGAATATATAAAATAAAACAATATATCTATTTTTATATTATACTTTAAGAATGAATAGCAAAATAAATATTAATATAGAATAGACTCACCATATAGGCATATATATATATATAAACAGAGTTAACAAACAAATAAAATACAGTATTAACTATTAATTAATCATTAATAATTATTGTATTAATTATGTATTAATTATTTTTTTTATTGTGTACTGTACATCTGAGATCATCTTCTTAGTGCTTAGTAGTCTTAAGTTAAGATTCTTAGAAAAAAAACCTATAATTATTATACACTAACAACACTATTACTATACTACTATAGTATATTGTTAATTTTATATATAGAGAATAAAATAAAATTTAATTAATTAACTTGTGTTAATAAATATAATTAATAGGCTTTTTTAATCCACTTCATGCGTTGTCAACAACGACAACAACAACCAGCCGGAAAAAACGATTAAAAGTGAGCATTTTTTAGTTTCTTAAACGATCAAGTATGAAGAATAAACAATATATTCATTCCATATATATAGAATATATATGATATATGAGAAATTCTTTATTATCGATACATATCATGTAACGGGAGGGCGATAATAATTTTATAATCGTTGATTATTCCGCCAGCCATCTTATTTAAATAAATAAAGTTGCGCATATGTGTAGTTATTTTTTTTAAGTTAAAATAAACAAAATTAATAGAACTGGTAAACGTTTATTAAATAAAGTAATTTTTATGTAGTTTTGTAATGCTTAAGTCGCATTCAAATTAATTTTAAAAATGAAAATTAAAAAGTGTTGCATTCTTTCATGCATAAAAACAAGAACTAGGGAAAGACATTTTATTTATCTATTGTTGTTTGTTCAAGCCAAGAAAATGTATGTTTAATCTTAGATTGTTCTTTGATTTTATTTCAGAATAAAAATACAACATCAAAAAGAACCAAAAAAATCTCTAAATTTAATAAATATATTAACCATGTTAGTTAACTTGTATTTTTCGTTAAACCAAAAAAAAACGTGATTTGTTTTTAAATTTCAGGATCACAAATACTGGTTGACACCAAATAAAATGTCAAAAAAATTTGAAATAACATAAACAATTTTAAAAGAAGTTAAATCTAAGTATATCAATTTAAAACAAATACATGTTTAAAAAGCTTTTGAATACAAAAAAGTTTTGCAGGAATTAAAAGAAAAAAATTTGATGAATGAAACATTTGCACAGTGATTGTCATTCTACATAGGTATTTAAGTTAATAGAGTCACAATTTTATACATTGCAAAGAGGCCCTATTCAACACAACAAACAACACACGTTTAGACGACATTTTCCCTGAGATCGGGGGTTGCCGTTTGGCTACCTATGATGAAACCGAAATACCCCTCGACGCCATTCACATCTGTCACTCACCTCAGTATCACGCAACCCCGCTTTCACTCTGTCTTCTCCATCTGCTCTCTCCATCCCAATCACGGACGACCCCTTCCTATCACTCCTTCAACCTCGAACTCCAACGCTCGCCAAATCTCGACCCTTCCATCCCTTCTCAACACATGTCCATAACACCGCAATCTCGATCTCTTTATCAATGTCACACTGTCCTCATTTAGCCCCATCATCGACATCAGCTCTGCCCTACTCCTCCTATCCTTCACTTTAACCCCACACATCATCCTCACAATAGCTCTTTCAGCCCTCTGCAGTACACTTTCCTCCTCTCTCCTCAACACCCAAGTTTCACCACCATATACCATTGCTGCTCTCACACATGCTTCATCTTCACTGACCATTTTTTCCACACAATACCCCACTCAGTTCCTTAAATTTCATCCATCCCACACGAACTCTAGCCGTAACAGCGCTCAAACATCCTCCATCCGCTTTTAGCTTAACCTCTAAATAAACAAAGCTTTTCATTCTTTCAATACCACCACTCAACCCCGTCATTGCGTCCGGCCTATTAATCACACCATGAACACATTTCTTACATTTGAACGTGCCTTCCACTTTTTTCAGTGCCCCCCCTCACACCACTACATCTCTTATGCACCCACTTCTGACATCCTATACATCCGAGTTAGCTTTCACTCTTCTGTCACATACCCCACAGAGGTCTATTTTACTTATCACTCGCTCCCCACCTTCCCCACTCACCATTACCTTCGTCTTACCAATATTAACTTTTAACCCTTTTTTTCAATAACACTTTTCCATCTGTCAAATTTTAACTGCAATTCTTCCATGCTATCAGCCATCAAGACTAAATCATCTGCATACAAAATCTCAAATAACAACCCCTCCATATGTTTCCACACACAACATCCATCACAATTGCAAACAAAAACGATGATAACACTGATCCTTCACTGATCCTTGATGCACTCCTATCTTTACACTAAAAGCGTCCGACACCCCCCTTCCGACCCTCACATTTGTCTTCGCCCCTTCATGCAGCTGCATCACAATTTTAACAAGTCTCTTCTTCCCTCCTTTCTTCCTCAACGTCCATTCAATGACCTTCCTTGGTACTCGATCAAAAGCCTTTTCTAGATCCACAAAACACAAGTACAATCTTCGTTTCTTTTTTCTATAATTCTCCTGCAACATTCTCACTATGAACAACGCATCCACCGTTCCCCTACCAGGCATAAACCCAACACTGCATTTCATTAACTATCACCATATTTTTCGACCTCCTCTCAAGCACCCTCTCCACTACCTTCATTTCATGCTCTAGCAATTTCACACCCACAATCTCTCACACCTTTTTTGACGTTTTACAACAGCACCAACACACTGTGTCGCCAATCTTCAGGTATACCTTCATCATCAAATATACTGTTAGCAATTCTCATCATAACTTCAATTCCTATCACCCCACTCGCTTTTATATGTTCCGCCGCCACTTCCAAAACCTTGTCGGCTTATCTAGTTTCATTTCTCTAACTGCTTTCTCTACTTTCTCCATCGTCACCTTCTCTATGGGATCCTGTGTTGACCACGGATCCCCATCTCCATCCTACTCCATTCTCTCAATTATCAAATTTTTCATTATGAGCTTTCCACCCCTGAGCTTTTTCCTCCTCACTATGGCACACTTGCCAAATCTATCCCAAAACATTCCCATTCCTATAAACAACTTTCTTTTCCCTCATTGACTGCTTTGAACATTTTCCTCGAACAAATTCCATTTCCCTCATTAAGCTATCAGATGCTTTTGTCATTGCATTTGCCACTGCCCGTTTTGCAACCTTCCAGCCTTTCTATACTCTGACTCTGCCTTCCCCGTTATGTCCTTTCTCTACACCTTAAACCACTCTTTCTTGACCTCCAAAACCTTTTTTATATCTTAATCCCACCACCACGTCTCACCATGCCTACACTTTCCTTTCGTCCATCCACATACTTTATCTGTCGTAGCTAACACACAGTCCCTATATCTCTCCAAAACATCTCCATCCTTACCACTCTTCCAACTTTTAGCCACCTTCACTTCAAATGCCTTCCTCACCTCTGCATCCTGTAACTTCCATGTCTTTCTCTTTGCCACAAACATATCCTTCTTCCTCCTCACCATTTCTTTTGATGCCACATCCATCACAACCATACTATGCTGCTACATACCAGGTATTGCCTTCACATTCCTTACATACTTTCTATGCTTTGCCCTTACCAATATATAGTCTATCATTGACCTATGCTCCCCTGACCTATATGTAATTAATCGTGCAGGTTTCCTTGTAAACCAGGTTTTCCCCACCACTATGCAATGTGCATCCGCAAACTCCAACACTCTACGCCCTTCCTTATTTTGTATACTATATCCCCATCCCTCATGTACACCTTCATATCCGTCTGCATCCGCCCCCACATGGCCATTCAAATCACCAACACCACAAACTCATCCAACCCCGCTTGCCCAATCTCGTCAGAAACATCATCATAAAACCTATTCTTCTCCTCTTCCTTCCTACTTTGTTGCGGAGCATATCCTGATATTACCCTCACTATTACCTTTCCAAACACCATCACCACCACAATTACACCATTGCTTTTTTGTCTCATTTTCAACAACTTCTCTACCAACTCTTCTCTTACCATCACACCAACTCCTCCCGTACCATCATCCCCCTTCCACCACAACTCACAACTTATACCTTCCACCTTTAGCCCCTACAAACCTTGTACCCTCTCCCTTCCATCTGATTTCCTGTAATGCAGCCACGTCAACCATTCTCCTCTGCAACTCCTCCACCATTTCCAAACTCCTTCCTCTCAGCGTGCCTCTATTTCAGGTACCAAACCTCCAACCACTTGTTCTACAAGTAATCCTTCCATCCATAGTGCCTTGCACCGCCATACTATAGAGTGGGGTGCCAGGAGACAGACCATCTACAGGGTCTCCAGGGATTTTTCGCACCCTCTTCTGCCGGATACTGAGGGCCATTGTCATTTTTGTCATCATAAATATTTTTATTGGCTAATTTTTACGCAGGACGCCCTTCCTTACGCAACCACAGTTATAAGCGGTGGGCCTAGCTTTTTGATGATCTAACATCACTTACAAGGCAGTGAGGGAGGTTAGAAGAGGTTCTATTCATGTTTAAAAAAAGAGGCAAATATTATTCTGGCGAAGAGAGAAGTTTCGCTCTTACTCTCCATCTATATGGACCAAAAGCCTATGAATTTTTAACATCAAAAGGTTTTCGCTCATCACATTGTCTTGTCGAACCATGAGAAAGTAAAAATTTTTTTAAAAATTTATTTAAATTTGTATTGTTGATGAAATTGAAGATTATTCACGGATATTTAAATTGTTAAATGGTTGAGAAAGCTAGATGCCTCTCCTGGCATAAATATGCAAATTGTTGAAAGCAAGTAATCGTTTTAGCATAATCAAAACCAAAACGCGAGGTCCCAGTTTGAATTATTTTAAAGAGTTAACAAGACATAGTGGCAGAGAGAATTACTTATTCAACAGAGTCGCAAATACTTGGAACTCATTACCAAATGAACTTGTTGAGACACAATCAATGAACAAATTTAGAGAAGGCATTGATTGTTGGATTAACAACAATCAATCAACGATTCAGCTGTGTTAGCATGCCGGACATCATGCTCTCTGGATAACCTCCAGAAAAACATTAATGCTACTACTAATGCTACTGCTACTACTACTACCACTACTACTAGCATTGCTGCTACTACTACTACTACTAAAAGCCATTCTCATTTCCAAAGTGTTCATTAATTATTGATGCTGTGTCAATAAAACAACATTTGGCATTTATCAAAAATAAAAAATAAGTTTTTGGGTATGTTGATTTAGGATTGGGTAAAGTTTTTTATATTCATTCATTTAATGATGAATATTTTTTACTAATCAGTTCAGTAATCTTTAATCTTTTTCCTTCCTTATCAGGGATATCAAGCGCAAATTAATTTTTTTTTCACTGCCTTGCATGTTGTTACAGTTTCTGCGTCTGTCAGATCCTGATTTTTAAAGAATAATAAAAAAAAAAAAAAGTTGTCCAGTGAAATCCTGGTTATTATGGCTGTTGGATTAAACCACTATTGGAAGGTTCCCATTGCAAACTTCTGTGTACAGGAGCTATCTGCTGAAATGCAAAGGAATTGGTTTTGTCCGTTATTAAAAACCTTTCATCCATTAATATGAAAGTTAATAAACATTAGCTTTGTAACATTGTTATTATATTAAACATAATTGTAAAAAAGGAAATTGCAGTATTTTTTAGGTTATCATTAACGTCAACAATAATTTTTTTCTTTTTTTCACAACTTTAAAACAATACCCTAAATAGTTATATTTAGTTAATTGGTTAAAAAATTAAATCTTAATAATAACATAAATTTACCAATCAACTAAGCAATGTATGTAAAATGTGTATTTGCTTAGTTTGAGGATTTTTTTATGGAATTCTAATTTAGGTTGTTGCACTTGATGGCTTGCAAACAAACTTGGCTATGTTTAATTTGTTGGGTTGCAATCTTACGTTGCCCGATGTTACATTAACATTTAAAGTTGAAGGGCATCTGATATGCTCGATTTTGGATGCCTGTCATATGTTGAAGGTCAGTGTACAGCACAAAAACAAATGCAATTCTAAATTTCAAGTATTTTTGTGAACGAGCAAAATGTTTTTTGATTTAATAATTGTTTCAAAAATGATTGTTCAACTTTGTTGAAGGTTATGAGAAACACATTTGCCTCATGTCAACAACTGTATTCCGAGAAGGGATGCATTAATTAATTGGCAATTTGTTAAAAAACTGCATAACCTCCAGTCTGCAACAGGTTTTCGATTGGCCAAAAAATTATTCAAGAAAAACATCTATTTCAAAAAATTGATCATGAAAGTAAATGAATATTTGATTCAATCTTTTTTTTAATTTTTTCGGTATCAATTTGAAATGAATAACACTTTAAATTTAAATGACAGGTAAAAATTTAGCAGCACAGGTACTAAGCGGGTCTGTTACCTTAGACACTGGTGGATAGTAAATTTCCTGAATTTGTAGGAGCTGAACAATAAAATTTATACAAAATACCAATAATTTGTTTGATATTATGAACTCTAAAAATCCACATGGAAGCTATTTTTCAAAGAACCATAAATCAAAATAATTTTGATGAGATTAAAAGTATTTTCACACATATTAACGGAGTAATAGTACGGAGTCAGATATAAAATATACAATTCCGGTTTCTCAAAAAATTCCGATTCCTTCTCCCGCAAAAATTTATTTAGATTTTTTGATTATTGTCGTTTTGTGCACATTGAGGAGATGATTCTTTATAGGACTTTATTAAGTGCATTTTGACAAATGGCTTGCTGGGTATCCAGTCTATTCTGTATTTCGGCGCTGTTAAACGAAAATTCGATGACTTTTCTTTATTTTTAAATCCGTTTTAATACTAAACGTTTTATTCTCAGAAGCCCTGTCTTCTGTTAATATTGTAAATATCTGTTGTCATAATGGTACTGATGTTTAATTGTTATGCAGTTGGTGGAAAAATTAAGGAAAGTAATCATCATTGTTATCAATCAATCAATCAATCAATCAATCAATCAATCAATCAATCAATCAATCAATCAATCAATCAATCAATCAATCAATCAATCAATCAATCAATCAATCAATCAATCAATCAATCAATCAATCAATCAATCAATCAATCAATCAATCAATCAATCAATCAATCAATCAATCAATCAATCAATCAATCAATCAATCAATCAATCAACCAACCAATCAATCAATCAATCAATCAATCAATCAATCAATCATCAATCAATCAATCAATCAATCAATCAATGATCATCTCTAATCCCTTAACTAACTAATAGGCCGATGGCGTCCAACTTCTTGTCGATTTCTTAAATTTTTTCTATCTTTTTAAATTCAACATTACTACTCAGTCCATTTTGTAATGCCGTCCAACCATTTTCCTTTCTCATCACATTAGTATCGTTGCAATTGCCCGTTATCTGGCATGCTGTAAATATGTCCAAAAAGATCCAGTTTTTCAGATAGATCTTTAAACTTTTTTGAAATTTTTTTGTATATTCATTTTTGAGATTAATTCCTTTTGTAAAATTCAAATTAGTATTATAACTTTGTCCTGGGCATGACATAAAACTGCATCCACGCTGCCTTGCGAGCTTTTGAGCAAAAGGCTAGGCCCACCGCTTATAACTGGTGGTTGTCGTCAGGATGGGTGTCCGGATGTAAAAACTTTCCCCAAATTACTCTTATGCCATCACAAAGAAAAACAACGGCCCCTAGTCCCCAGCAGGCCTTAAGTGGTCAAGGGGTGCCAAGAATCCCTGGGAAGTATGCAATAGCGGAGGGATGTTGCAGAAAAATTCAGAATGGCCCCTCCATGGTACTTAGACTTGGAACGCTCAATGTTGGATCACTGACTGGCCGCAGCATGGAAATCGCAGAAATGCTCGAGCGTAGAAGGATTGACATCTGCTGCCTTCAGGAAACCCGATTGAAATCGAATGGTGTCTGTCATGTCAACTCAGACAAAGAAAAATATAAACTATTCTGGAATGGTCAAAAGACGGCCAAAAATGGTTTTGGAAATTTTGTCAGGGAACCGCTAGCCCAAGAAGTACTGGATATTAAAAAGATTAATTCACGTCTCATGTGGATCAAGCTTTGCATAGAAAAGCAAACAATGATTATTTTTTCTGCATACGCACCCCAGACAGGCGAATCAGAGGAGATGAAAAATGACTTCTGGGCTGCATTCTCTGACACCATCTCAACAATACCAAAATCTGAAGCAATCCTTTTTGGAGGCGATCTCAATGGCCACGTTGGAGAGAAAACAGATGGTTTTGACAACGTACATGGCGGTTTTGGCTATGGAAAACGGAATGAAGATGGCAACCGCATCCTTGAGTTTGCTGAAAGTCACGGGTTTTGTTTACTGAACACATATTTTAGAAAGAGGTTGGAATATCTCATAACATACAAAAGTGGACCATCAGCCACGCAAATTTATTTCTTTGCTGTCAAGCAACCACACCGAATGCTGTTCAAAAATGTAAAAGTTATACCTGGCGAATCATGTGTCGCCCAACATAGACTCCTTGTGGAAGACCTGGAAGACCTGTCGAACTGTCAAAACATAAGTCTAAACAAATGCATCGGAGAATCAAAACGTGGAAGCTGAAAAGCAATATTCATCGAGAAAAATTTCAACAGATTGTCGCAACACAGTTAGACCACCAATCGCAAGCCAGCACAGATTGGAGTACATACAAAACCATTTTAATGAACGCTGCAACTAAAGTTTGTGGGAAAACTGGTAGAAAACGTCAGCATCAACGTGACACTTGGTGGTGAAATGACTGTTCAAAATGCAATAGCTGAAAAGAAAGTTGCATACAAGCAATGGCAAAAATCAAAATCTGTTGATGACCATAAAATTTTTCGTGAGAAGAACAACCATGCAAGACGTCAAGTTGCACTGGCTCGGACAGATCAGTGCAGATCAGATGGCTCACTAAAAGCAAACGTGAACCAATGAAATCTTTGTATCGTATAGCAAAACAAGCAAAGCGTACGAAAAAAGACATAGTTGGTGCCTCATTTATCAAAAATGACAAAAATGAGATGGTTCTTGAACAAGATGAGATCAAATCCCATCAATGTTAACTTTGACGCTCCACCCATCAAAGGTCCAATTCCAGACATCACTGTTGAGGAGCTTACAGAAGCTCTGAAAGCTATAAAGGATGGAAAGGCAGCAGGGCTCTCTGGACTCACAAATGACATTATCAAAGCATCTGGTACTGCAGGTATCCAAACGTTACTACAACTTTGCCGTGAAATCTTGAGAAATTGCTCAATGCCGACTGAATGGAACTATAGCATGACAGTCCCGCTATACAAAGGAAAAGGTGATCCATTGAACTGTTCATCATATCGGGGTATACGTCTGTTAGAACACTTCATGAAAATTGTCAAGAAAATCATTGAGAGAAGATTAACGTCGTGCATCACAATCGGAAATTATCAATTTGGTTTCCTAGCGGGGAAATCATCAATTGATGCAATTCACATCCTTTGGCAACTGCAAGAGAAGTACCTCGCAAAGCATCAACAACTATCACACATTTTTGTAGACTTTGAAAAAGCATTTGATCGAGTTCCCCTTGAAGCAATCAGGTGGAGTCTACGTCGACAACTCATTCAAGAATATCTTGTTCGACTTGTGATGGAATTGTATACGAATACTAAGACTCTTATCAGCACAACGGTTGGAAACACAGATGCATTTGATATCGGCGTTGGAGTTCACCAAGGCTCGATTCTCAGGCCACTGTTATTTATAACTGTGATGGAAGAAATCAATAAACCGATACGCACTGGTGACATTTGGAACCTAGTATATACTGATGATATCGTTTTAACAGCCACGTCTAAACAGAATGCAGCACAGATGTTTGAAGATTGGAACACCAGACTCGCCAATCATGGATTCAAAGTAAACATAAATGAACACTGGTGAACCCATCCAATCCACAGCTACTGGACGATGGCCCTGTTCTGTTTGTAAAGCTGGTGTTGGTAACAATTTAATCAAGTGTCAGCAGTGTAACCAGTGGTGTCACAAACGTTGTTCAAAAATAGTTGGTACTTTATCTAAAGTGTCCAATTTTGTTTGTCCTGCTTGCATCAATCCTCAACAACAAATTCGAAATAGCAATGTTTTTGAAGCCATTAAGATAGAGAAAGTCACATGGTTTCAATATCTAGGGGATGTTCTGGATTGTACTGGAACAGCTGAAGCTGCCGTTCAAGCACGCATACGTGCAGCCTGGAATAAATGGCATCTTCTTGCCTCTATATTGATGCGGCGTGACATCCCACTACCATTACGATCAAGTCTTTATAAATCTGTGATACGTCCGGTGTTGTTATATGGTGCAGAAACATGTCCAATGACGGCCAAACTGGAACAACAACTTCAACGAACCGACATGAAAATGCTCCGATGGATGCAACGAATTAGTCTAATGGACCACATCAAATCTACCGAAATCTTGCGTCGTGCTGGTTTAGATGATATAAAGGACGGATGCCGGCAACACCGTCTGCGGTGGTTTGGTCATGTCAAACGAAGTGCAAACAGTGCCATAACTTCTCTTGCAGATGTTGAAGTACCTGGCACACGTCCAAAAGGCCGTCCAAAGAAGTCAATCGAGCAAGACATGAAAGCTCTAAATTTAAATGAAATGGATACAACTGATCGTCTAATTTGGCGCAAAAGGTTGATGGCAAAGAGAACAACGGGAAACCGGGTCTCTGGACGCAAAACGAAGATTGATTGATTAGATTAAAAGTATTTTGCTGTTGTTAAAACATTATTTTTTGTCTCTCAAGTTAAGAGATGGTCGCTTTCATTAAAGCACCGACAAGTTAATTTAGCATTAAAAAGATATGAGACTGTACATGTAACTTTGCTTCTTTTTTGAAGACAAACATGTGTCACAGGTTTTGTGATCGATATTAACTCAATCATAAAAATTGCTTGGAGGATCAAAAATATTTATTAACGTACAAGTTGTCCCAGGATCACTTAGAATTATTTTTTAATGCTGTCCGCCAAAATTGTATGCATTGAATCTAATTTATTTTTGTATCTTGCTGAATGTATTTGTTTTGTGATGATAATTTTAGGAGGCTGGAATAACAATCCGACAGCATATCAATTCAAATATATAATGAGATATTTGGCAAAACGTGACTTTTTGCCAGATAATTGAGGTAATGTAATTGATGAGGCCAATTTTGTGTTACCAGATGTAAGTATTTTCAGAAAACCTAATGTTAATAGAAATATATCTATTGAGGCTTTTGATAAAATTGAAAAGTAAGTTTTTTATTTCTACTTATTTTGGTATGTATGAAAAAAGATATTTTTATGGAAAGTGTTTACATTTTTAAGGTAAAATTTCTCGTCAAATTCGGTTGAGGCATTGACAGAAAATGCACTAGCACATATAGCCGGTTGGGTGGTGTCAAAAGTGTACCACAGCATTGACTTTGAAGCATGCAGTGATAGCTTTATCACTCAAACCAAAATTGAGAATCACAGTTGTCATCTGCTGTCACTAAGAGATATGGGTGTTTATTGTTACCCCTCTGTTGGTGTTATTAAAGTTAGCAAATGATCTTATTATTATTTTTATCTAACTGTAGATGCAATTAAACCGACTTTTCCCTGCACTTTAATCAGGTTTTTGCTCTGGACGCTCAACTGAGACAGCGATACTAAAGGTCTTCAATGATGTTTATGAGGCTATTGATTCTGGTAGTATCTCTCTCTTGGCTCTGCTCGATGTCGGAGCTGCTTTCGATACGGTCAACCACAAGCTCCTTCTTGATCGATTTGCAAAGTCACTGGCTTGGGTGGAATGGTCCTTGCCTGGTTTGAATCCTATTTGTCTGACAGATCGCAAACGGTATGTTTTGATGGCTCTGATTCTGCTTCCTCCCCACTGTTGAAAGGAGTTTCACAGGGATCAATTCTGAGACCCCTGCTCTATGTTCTCTATACGGCAGATATTGTGGAAGTTGTTGAGTCATCGGGTTTGAAATGTCACCTTTACGCAGATGATATACAGCTGTATAGTTACTGTAATATCAAAAAAAGACAGGAACTAGCGGACAGAACTCAAACAGGTGTCAGAACTGTCTCAGAATGGATGCTGGCAAATGGATTGAAGCTGAATATTGACAAGACACAATACATCTGGTTGGGTACTTGTCAAAAATTAACTGGTATTCAGGAATATGTAGAGCCAGTCAAAAATCTTGGTGTTTGGATAGATCCTGAATTGAAAATGAATAAACATGTGAAAAATGTCTGCCGATCATGTTTTTACCAATTGCGCCCAATCAGACGTATAAAAAAGTACCTGACAAATGAATGCTTAATTTCATTGATGCACAGTTTCATTTGTGGAAGAATAGATTACTGCAGTTCAATCCTCTATGATACAAGCTTGTATCTTCAAAACTGCATACAGTTTATTCTGAACACTGCAGCAAGAATAATTGCTGGTGTAACAAAATACGAATCTGTTTCATCATATATGCAAAATGAGCTTCACTGGTTGCCAGTTTGTTATAGAATCGAATTCAGAATAGCAATGTTTACAAGAGACAGTTTGATGGGGCTTGGTCCTCGATACCTTCAACAGTTGATCGTGCCTGTCCCTACGGCTGCCGGGGGGCGAAAACTCAGATCCTCTGCCAAAAAGAAACTCGTTGTTCCTAGCTTCAGGACAGAAAATTATGGACGGCGTCGTTTCTCCGTGGCTGCAGCGGAGGTTTGGAATAAACTGCCCGATGATGTCGTTGATAGTATTGATGAAAGAGACATGTTCCGAAAACGACTTAAACATCACTTTTTTGATCGGCAGCCTCTCGAACAGTGCCTCTGAGTTTTACATAGAGGGGCGCTATATAAATTCTCCATACCATACCATACCAATGATAAATTTTCTATATACTGTTATAATCGATCCTTTGAGCTTGTAGGGTATTGTTATTTCTCTCTACGTGGATTCTTGACTCCTGATCAAACTTATTTCAGATGAACTTTATCAGAAAAAAAACTGTGCTACAAATCACTTGTGTTTATTGCTGTGATCAATCACTCGTTTAATCAATTGTTAAAATCGCTTGAATACAGCACAATAACTAATCGACAGGTAAATCACGAAATACAACTATTCGTCAGTAGTTAAGCTTCTTTTATCAGACTAATTACATTGAATTCTCTAGCCCTGGTATTCTTTACTGCAGTGAGTTTCCAGCTATCAAAATCTTACCTCTGTCACCAGTGTGTAATCTCCTGAAGATCCCACTTCTAACACCAGTGTTGTAACCGCTTTGACCTCGTAACTACCAACAACGATGTTATAGCTTCAATACTCGCTATATTTCCAACATCGTGTTGTAGTTTCCAACGATAGTCAAGAGTTTGTTTGTCCGTAGGTTCAAAATTTCCAATAGATGAACACAACTACTTTAAATGCAAACTAAGTTGAACGTTTATTTAATAGCAGCAGTAATAGAAACAATAAATTAATCCAAATAACTACGTAAAATCAGCTTAATCACTTTTACGTCAACTGTATTCCGTCTTCTTATAATAATAACAATATAAACATTTATGAAGCGCCCATTCGCACAGCTGCTTCAGAGGCGCCCGGAGCCTTTGTTAAAAAGATGAGTCTTTAATCCCTTTTTGAAATGACACAACGAGGAACATTGTCTTAACTCAGGAGGTAACGCATTCCAGACATACGAGCTGCATGACGAAAACCGCGGCCAGCCAGGCGGATCCGGCAACGGGAATGTTTAGGAAACCTGTTGAGCTGCTGCGGAGTGATCTAGTATGTTCATGTCTGGATATGTCGTATAGATATGTTGGGGATTTTAATAAAAGGGTTTTGAAGGAAAGACTGCAATTTTGAAGATGGTTCGAGCGGAAATTGGAAGCCAATGAAACATTGGAAAGAGAATGGAAGAACTAAAACGAGGAGGTTTATTAAATATCAGTTTAGCAGTTTTATTTTGGATAGTCTGTAGCTTTCTGACCGATGCATTTGAGGCCCCATACAATAATGAGTTGAAGTAGTCTAATCTAGAAAGGATCAAACATCTGCAAAGGGCAGCAGCAACATTACGTGTAATCATATGTCTAATATGTCTTATTGCGCAGAGGTGATAGTTGCAGGATCTGACGATTTCTGATATGTGTTTATCATAATTTAAATGTCTGTCAAAAGTGATCCCAAGCAACTTGATTGCATCCGAGATAGGCAATGTGGACCCTGCTATGTCCATTTCTTCGAGCTAAAACCTCGACAGTTGTTGATGTGTCCCAATGACCATAATTTCAGATTTGTTAGGGTTGAGAAAAAGGAAATTATTAGCATACCATAAACCTCGCTAGTACAATTGCTTAAGACTTAAAGATTGCTTTCAAGATCGCCAGAAGTGACAGATGTATGCAGATGAGTGTCATCGGCGTAGTGATGAGAAAATAATCCATTTTTACTAAAAATGTCGCTAACAGAAGACACATAGGTAGTGAACAAGATTGGACCGAGAACGGAACCTTGAGGGACTCCAGTGTCGATCAAGCAGTAGAAGTATGGTTTCACAAACTGCTGTCTGCAGCTCAGGTAAGATCTAATCAGTGATAGTGCATGACCATCCACTCCAAACTCTTGTTGTAGGCGTTCAAAAAGAACCGAGTGACTGATGGTATCAAAGGCAGAGGACAAGTCGAGCCCAACTGCAATGATTACCTTTCGGTTGCTAGCCTCATTAAAAATATCATCAGCAATGTGTAGAAATGCAGTCTCAGTGGAATGATGAGAACGATAAGCAGATTGAAGATTTGGATAGTTATGATTGGACATTAGGCGGGCACGTAGTCTTAGCAATATGACGCGCTCAAGTAGCTCTGAGAATGTTGATAAGTTTGATATAGGGCGGTAATTTGACGGGTCACCAGGATCTAAAGATGGTTTTTTCATTAGTGGTAGAACCTGAGCAGTTTTATAAAGTGAAGGAAACCATCGCGTGCTAAAGAAAGTTAGTCAGCTTGACCAGAATGGGTGCTAAGATCGACGAGAATTGCTTAAGCGTTGAGGTTCCGTCTTCTTCTTACCTGCTCTCCTCTCTTTTGTGAGTGTGTCTCTCACTCGTTTCTCTTTCTTGTTTATATAGCTACCGATCCGCTAGTAAGTGTATCACATGCCGTTTCACGTGACTTTTACAACCGTTTTAATTTGCAAGTGATTCTCGCAATTTCTAACTACTAGTTCTTATTTCGGCTTCACGTCTATAACATTGCCCTCCATTGAAACCAAAAATAGTCGTCGATTTGGTCAATTCCCCTTGCTGCGTGGTCTTCTGGTTTTGGGTAGGAGGTGTACGATCTTCAGTTTGATCCGAGGCTTACCTCGTTTTCGTACCCGATACACCACGCCGTTGATCTAGGTGGTGACTTGGCACGACCTTTCCCAATCCTTACATTCATTTTCTGCAAGCATTCGACTCATAATTAGTTAAAGGTCATCAATTTGTGCTCGCCGTTCATCTGTATACCCATCTATCAATTTAGAGTCGTTCATCGGTTCTTCAATTTCATCTTGCAGTTCGTTCAGTCTAACTCAACTTTTATCTTTGAACTTTGCTAACGACATGGTGAAATTACCTTGGGACAGTTTCTCCTTTTCTTCCGTCTTTACTTGGCACTCTTTGAGCATCTGCTTCGCTCATGTTTTTTTCATATTTCTGTTCTTTCATCTCATTTGTATGCTCCTGTTTCGGTTTTTCAATTTCTTCAAGTTCCTGTTGATGACTTTGACCTTCACTCTTGAGAATAATTCTGTCTGTTGTTACCTTATTAAGATCTTTTTCAAGTTTGTCTAGCTTATCTTTGCTCACCTTTTCGTCGTCTGAATCATTTGATTTTGTGAGTTCATTCAACTCGTTTTTTCATCCGTCAATCTGCCGATTACTTTTCAATCGTCATCAGGATTGATGTACTATGTATCATTGTTGTCATCATCTTCCTCTTTATTAACGGGATGGCTACTTTTCTGTACGTCAACACGTGCATTATAGTTGTCACGTGCTTTGCGGTTTTCTCGTGCATCATAGTTGTCACGTGCATCGCAGATACCACGTGCATCACTGTTAAAACGTGCGTCGTAGTTGTCACTTGCATCACAATTTACACGTGCTATGCCAGTATCACGTGCGTCGCAGTCGACATCATCCGTAGGCGAATATGCTGGTAGACTGATTTCCGACTCTTGTGTAGCCGTTTTTGGTATTAGTCTCTTTGTTAGGAGATATTCCCTCAAAGGTTGATCGTGTTATTTCATTGGCCGCTCATAATTCAGCTTTCATTTCTCTTATTTCGGCTATCCGTTGATCGATCTTGGCCCTCATTTCAACAAATTGCTTTTCGCTTGTATCTGCTCGACGGTCGGCATCAGCGTTTATTTTGGCATAAAACTCTTTCATTTTTGAGACGATCATATGCATGAATTGTTGCATGTTAAACGCGGACGAATTCCAGTTGCTCGTCTCACTAGAATTTGATCCTTGTTTGTTTTTGTTTTCATTGTGGTCCGTTGAGTGCTGCTTGAACGGGTGACTCGATCAGTCTCTGTAGCTTTTCTCTTCGACATCTTCTCGTCTGTTCGATCCCACTTCTGACACCAGATGTCATAGCCGGCCCCTTGAACTTTTAGGGTATTGTTATTTCTCTCTACGTGGATTTTTGACTCCTGAACAGACTTATTTCAGATGAACTTTATCAGAAAAAAAACATTGCTAGCAATCATCTGTGTGTATTGCTGTGATCAATCACTCGTTTATTCAATCGATAAAATTGTTTGAATACAGCACAATAACTAATTTACAGGTAAATCACGAAATACAACTAACTATTCGTCAGTAGTTAAGCTTCTTTTATCAGACTAATTGCATTGAGTTCTATAGCCCTGGTATTCTTTACTGCAGTGAGTTTCCATCTATCAAAATCTTACCTCTGTCACCAGTGTGTAATGTCTTAAAGATCCCACTTCTAACACCAGTGTTGTAACCTCTTCGACCTCGTAACTACCAAAACCGATGTTATAGCTTCAATACTCGCTATATCTCCAACACCGTGTTGTGGTTTCCTACGATAATCAAAAGCTCGTTAACCGTAGGTTCAAGATTTCCGATAGATGAACACAGCTAATTTAAACGCAAACTAAGTTGAACGTTTATTTAATACCAGCAGTAATAGAAACAATAAATTAATCCAAATAACTACGTAAAATCATCTTATCACTTTTACGTCAACTGTGTTCCGTCTTCTTCTTACCTGCTCTCCTTTCTCTTGTGTGTGTTTCTCTCTCGTCTCTCCTTCTTGTTTATTTAGCTACCGATCCGCCAGTGTGTCACATGCCGTTTCACATGACGTTTAGTTTATTAAAATTCAAAATAAACTTATTTTTCGAGTTCATGCTGCAAATAAGGCCATATTTCGATTCCGAATGAATCATCTTCAGTGCTCCTTGCTGTATATATAGGGACATATTGACTTTGTCAAGATGAACTTTGACGTTGTAAAAATTAACTTTGGTGTTGTAAAATTGAACTTTGATGCGAATTAGGTGTCAGGTTTTTTAATTGGCTGGTCATCTTCTTTGGTCTCTTTTTCTTCATCGATAGCATCATATTCTTCTTTGTCACTATTTACGATGCTAGTTTTTATTACTTCTTTGTTTTCGTTGTTGGTTAAGCGCCGGGTTGGAAGTGAGGTTGTCATTTTTTGTTGTATATTTATTTTTGGTTTATTGATGTCGATTAGGACTGCTTTTGCAATTTTAAGATGCGTGTAGTTGTTGTTCTGGTATATTACTTTGGTGTTGCTGTCGAGGATTTCACGGCTTATTGTGATTGAGTGTGTTGAGTCCAAATGAAAATTAAAACGGTTGTAAAAGTCACGTGAAACGGCATGTGACACACTTACTAGCTGATCGGTAGCTAAATAAACAAGAAGGAGAGACGAGAGAGAAACACACACAAGAGAAAGGAGAGCAGGTAAGAAGAAGACGGAACACAGTTGACGTAAAAGTGATAAGATGATTTTACGTAGTTATTTGGATTAATTTATTGTTTCTATTACTGCTGGTATTAAATAAACGTTCAACTTAGTTTGCGTTTAAATTAGCTGTGTTCATCTATCGGAAATCTTGAACCTACGGTTAACGAGCTCTTGATTATCGTAGGAAACCACAACACGGTGTTGGAGATATAGCGAGTATTGAAGCTATAACATCGGTTTTGGTAGTTACGAGGTCGAAGAGGTTACAACACTGGTGTTAGAAGTGGGATCTTTAAGACATTACACACTGGTGACAGAGGTAAGATTTTGATAGATGGAAACTCACTGCAGTAAAGAATACCAGGGCTATAGAACTCAATGCAATTAATCTGATAAAAGAAGCTTAACTACTGACGAATAGTTAGTTGTATTTCGTGATTTACCTGTAGATTAGTTATTGTGCTGTATTCAAACGATTTTATCGATTGAATAAACGAGTGATTGATCACAGCAATACACACAGATTCATTCGGAATCGAAATATGGCCTTATTTGCAGCATGAATTCGAAAAATAAGTTTATTTTGAATTTTAATAAACTAAACGTTCACCAAAAAACTTTAGTGAGAAAAATCGAAAAAACGAACTTCAAACATATTAACGCCAAACATTCGGTAGAATTTATAGAATATTGTAAAAATATATATATATATATATATATATTGTCGGAAATTTGCTTGCGTGTGTGGTGTCTGTCTGTGCGTTTGAGTGTTTGTTCGCGGCACGAGCGAAATCTTTTTCTCTATCTTTCTCAGGGAATTTTTTTATGGTCCGACAATAATAATTTTTGTATATTTTTATCGTGAGCTCGACCAGTCCTGTGTGGCACTGGGCTTTTTCGAATTTAGTGATTTTACTGAGTAACACACGAAGCGTAAAATATTCGATAACAATTTTATTAATCGAAGATAATAAATGAAAAGAATTGAACTAACTGAACTTTAGAATAATGTTAAAAATAATATGTCAATGAACGAACTGAATTACAGGAGTTAGAACTTCTTCTTGATGGATTCGGGCAACTTGGATTATGTTTCTTCCCGTTCAATCGACGTGTGTGACCGATGGTGGTGTTGTTACAACTCCGAGAGATAAATGAAATGAATGAAGAAAAGTTACAAAATCGGAGCCTATGGGAATTCCAATGCGGGCAAAACTATACCAATGAGAATAGAATCCAGCAAAGAACCCTAGGTCCACAAATAGCACAACAAAAACAAAACAACAAGGCGGATTCGTTTTCACAGAATCCAAGGCCTGTTTTCATTGGGCCTGTCAGTCACTCGGTCGACTTTCGCACAACCCTGGCCTGTTTTCACTGGGCCGTCGAGTCTGGTTGGCTTTAGCACAACCAAGGGCCTGTTTTTATTGGGCCTGTCAGTCAGTCGGTCGGCTTTCGCACAAACCTGGCCTGTTTTCACTGGGCCGTCGAGTCTTGTCGGATTTCGCACGACCAACACAAAGCAACAACACTGAGTCAGAACAACACTGGGAACAAATCGTGTGACTTTAGTACGCGTGCGAAATTAAGCCAATGAGCATAGAGTCTCGTACCAAATCCACTTTTGAGAACTTAAGACGTTTCAAAAACTATGCCAATGAGCATAGAATCACGAATTAAGTCTCTTAGATACCAGAATAGGCACCGATTACTCAAGGCTGCCTAACCAGTCAACCAACGACTCTCTGAGAACTTAAGACGTTTCCGAAACTATGCCAATGAGCATGGAGTCACGAATTAAGTCTTTTAGATACCAGAATAGGCACCGATTACTCAAGGCTGCCTAACTAGTCAACCCAAGACAAACTCTTTTTTATTAAAGATAAAGAAACCCTATATCAAAGCAAAATTAAATTTTGTTTCAGGTGTTTTTTTTAAACATAAGAATTTCCCAAGGTGGTATGTCTGTCAAATTAATCACAAAAACTATTAATTTAATTTTTAAAATAATTTGTAAATGCAAAAAACTTCATCCTTAAAAAATCGAGTGAATTAACTTTGCATCTAGCCACATATCGAGTGAATTACTTTTGCGTTGAAGGACTTAGAAGTATTTTTAGTCAGTATTATTTCATAATTCTGACACTATATATATATATATATATTATTTTTATTATTCTTTAAAAATCAGGATCTGACAGACGCAGAAAATGTTACAGCATGCAAGACAGTAGTACAAAATTAAACAAATAAGGAGATAAATAAATAAAAAAACGGAGAAAGAAAAATGTTCAAACATGAAAAATAAAATAAAATAAATAATAACAATAAAATAATAGAAGAAAATAAAATAAATTGACAATAAAATGAAGTAATGTCATAAAGACGCAATTTAATATTCTAGAAGATGACTTAGTGAGTTAGATCGATAAATAAAAACTAGTTGTTTGAATGATAAAGTTTTATTAAATAAAAACTAGTTGTGTGAATGATAATGTTTTATTGAGTGTTAATATGTTTGAGGTGTCTTATGATGAAAGTCTTTTCCTGATATGTAGATTATGTGGCGACTTGATGGTTATGTTTGCGTTGACGAAGGTGGTGTGTTGTAGTGATAGTTGGTGGTAGTAGAAGATGAATGACGTGGTTGTTATTTTCTACTTTCTTGAACAGTCTTGAATCGAGTGTGTTGAATATCTGAGTGACGGTGGGATATGATGCCGGCAGATAGTTGAAGCGGATAAGTTTTTTGATGAGAAATTGTAGTTGCTGAAGTTGTTGCTGTGTAGCAAAACCACACCAGGAGGGAGCTACATATTTGATGCGTGAGATAATGAGTGATTCTGTGATGTCGAATAATTTAATGCCTCTGAGACCATGTGAGCGGAGTGTTTTGAGTGTATGAATTGTTTGAAAGCCTTTTGTGATGATGTGACTGATATGAGGTACTATATTAAGTGTGGAGGTGAATGTGATGCCTAATATTTTTAATTGACTTGTGCGAGTGATTTATGGGTGCTCTGGAGGTGGTGTTATTTTCTCACGGCTATTGTGAATGATGAGTTCGAATGATTTTTTGAGATGAAGTGACAGATTGCATCGTTTTGACCATGTAGTTAATGAGTCGAGTTCTGATTGAATGGTGTTTGAGTTAGATGATGGGATTATAAGGTAGGTTTCGTCAGCGTATTTGATGATGTGATTAGAGCTATGAAAAGTTTTGAGAGTAGAAACATTGATGATAAAGGTAGATGGTCCAATAGAACCTTGAATTACGCTAGATGAAAGAGTAGAGCTAAAGAAAGCAGAAAGAAGACAAAAAATTTATTGTAATATTGTAAATGTTGTCAGATAGAGGAATAAAGTCTTATTTGAGAGTGAAAAGTGATTGAGAGTGTCAAAAGCTCTAGAATAGTCGAGAGCATTAAGATGAACATAATAATTTTTTTAAGGAAAGATGTTATTGTGGAAGTAAGAGAGATGATGATGGATGTAGATGAACCTGTATGGCGAAATACAAACTGATCCTGTAATAGTGGTTTGATGGATGGATGGTTGAAACATGAATAGATGAATGACCTAACGATGAATTTTCCTAGAATACGTGAAAGTATGAGGGTGATAGATATTGGGTGATAATCTTTTGGTGATGATGGATATTTTGTTTTAGGAAATGGATGAATTGTGCTGGATTTCCATTGTGATGGGCTGAACTTAAGCAGTGATAGTAGAATGAAATTAAGGTGCTGAAGATCAATGGAGCGATGATTTGCAGAAACCAGGCTGGTAGATTGTCTGGACCTGTACCGGATGGAGCATGTGCAGGACGGAGTATGGGGTAATTTGTTGATGTTGATAATGACTATTGATTGTTGATACTTTTGTTGGTGGAGTTTTGTAGGACGGGTCAGTTGACATGGAAGCAAAGTGGGTGCTGAGTGTGTTAGCATCACTTTGACGTGTTGAATGATTTGTCAGAACTTCTGACTTTGTTGACTTGGTCCCACATGGCATTGCTTCCACGCTTACTGTTAGTGGAAGTTTTTGAGTTGAAGTTGATGATGAGCCTGTTGATGTATTTGAGATCGGTTCAGAATCTCGGTTGTATGGATATGGTCCCTTAGGTCAACATGCTGCATCCAAACAATCATCATCATGTCAGTTCGGTGAAGCTGCTGATCGAGGTTTGTTGTCATCGGCTACGTCTGCACCACACATTAGAACAGAACGTATAGCTGTGTTGTATAATTCTGAGCGCAGCGGTAAAAGAATGCTAGACCGCATCAGTACCGAGGCAAGAAGATGCAATCTGCCCCACGCCGCACGTATGCGTCCACAAACGGCGGCATCAGCTGTTCCAGTACAATCCAGCATATCTTCCAATACTGAAATGAAGTTACAGTTTCGATCCCGGTAATCGTATCATTATCTGGGCTCCGTTGTCGCGGGTTGATGCAGGCGGGGCATAGGAAATCAGTCACTTTTCTCAGTGAGCCGGTAATTCTCGAGCATCGTCTGTGACACCACTGCTGACATCGTAGGCATTTGATCGAGTTGCTTCCAACTCCAGCCCCACACACCGAACATGGCCAATGACCAGAGACCACAGGCTCAGCGGTACCACCGGTGATCATAGTTTTTGTTTTGTCAAGGTTTACCTTTAGCCCGTGTTCAGCAAGCTGGGTATTCCAGACTTCAAACTTTCTGGCTGCGTCTTGTTCCGAGGCCGCCGTCAGGACAATATCATCTGCATATATCACATTCCTTATTTGAGGAAATTCCATGGTGCCAATGATAATAATAATAATAATAATGATAATACGTTCATAACTAACTCTATTGACAATTTTTTGCAACACTGTTTTGATAAATTTTACAAAATCATTAACACAACTTACAACACGTACTATCTAACATCAAACATCACGATTAGATCATCAGACCCTCCATTCATCAGCCCATTCATCAAATATCTACTTCGCTAAAAAAATAAATTTATGAGATCAGGATCCATGTTGTGTGTGCATCCATTCTCTTCATGCTGGGGTGCACTGGCTATGAAGTGCATCCCCAGGTGGTGGATAGGAAAAAATCCTGGGTAGGAAGACCTTCTAGGATTGCATCGAATAATACGAAATAAAATGCCGCGAACCAACTGTACCAGAAGAAAGAAGACAACAATGAAAGAGGCGGAGGATCCTAGAACTTCGGCTCCAACAGCGGATGATTTTTGATTCTAAATTCACTGCTTTGTGAAACAGGAACCTTTGACCCAAAGGCTAGGTGCACTGCTTACAACAGTGTTCTCTTGGGCACGAGATAAACTGCAACCGCACAGCCTTGTGTGCTTCCAGCATAAGGACTAGGCCCATTGCTTATAACTGGTGGTTGTCGTTAGTAATTGGGCAATTCCAGGTATAAATTTTTTTTGACCCAAACATCTTCCATGTCATCACAAAAAAAGAAAAGATGCCATTTAAGGTCTTTCCTAGAAGACCTTAAATGGTGAAGAGGTGACAATATCCAGGAAGTGGAGGGATGTTGCGGAAAATTGGGCGTCCACTCTTGGAATATAAGACTTGACACTTTTAATACTAGATCGCTTACTTGATGCTCCATGGCGATCGTCAAAATGCTGGAAAGGCGAAGGGTTGACATCTGTTCTCTACAGGAAACAAGATGGAAATCAAATGGTGTCTCTCTCATTGGGAGTTATAAGTTGTTCTGAAATGGCCAAAAAACAGTCCAAAATAGAATGGGAATCTTCATATGGGAATCACTGGCACAAAATGTACTGGAGGTAGTTGGAATCAGCTCACGCCTAATGCTGATTAAACTCAGAATGGGAAACAGGTTCTGACTGTTTTCTCTGCATATGCACCACAGCCACATGATAAATTCACGAGTTAAAGTTGTATAAAACTACGTGTTAATGTTGAAACATTGTGCTAAAATTAAATAAAATTACATGAATAAGTACAAACCAGGGATTTTTACGGAATATAATGAAATACAATCCGCTTATGTTGCAAAGTAACAAAAATATCAAAATAAAGCAATAAACAGATATAGTAGCAAGACACCATTCAATCTAGGTTCGTTAATTGGAAGATTTATTAATTAATAAGCACGATCTAATGAAAAACATTTTTCGACTCAAAAGTAACGGTGGCGATTTTATTTTAGTTTTTAAAAAAGGTTAAAGGTCCATTACACCCTTCCTATGTTTAGAGGAAAAGTAGCGCCGCTACCAATATCGCTACTTCTCTATGATTTGGTATTGGTAATTTATATAGCGCTTCTTTATGGTAAACTCAGAGGTGCGCTTCGAGAAGCTGGAGAACAAAATAATGACGCTTTAGTTTTTTTCTGAACGTATCTCTCTTCTCCATAGAATTTACCACATCGACTGGCAGTCTATTCAAGATCTCAGCTGTAGCCACAGTTTATTAGCAAACTCAGAGGCGCTGTGTAAAAAGCTGGCAAACAAAATAATGACGTTTTAGTTTTGTTCTGAATGCGTCTATTTCCTCCATAACATTTACCACATCATCGAGCACTCTATTTCAGACTTCAGTTGCAGCCATAGTCTATTAGCCAAATAAGATTCAAACCAGGCTACCGCTTCTCCGCTATTAACTCAATATATAAAATACAATAATGGTTGATAATAGCCATAAGGTTAAAATAAAGTTTATTCATGGTATAGGTGTGGCATAAAGATTTAACCAATACGGTAATTGGAGAACGATAGACTAATGTTTTAACTAAAATTTAATTAAAATCTAACGTTTTTAATCATTAAATGAAGTTTTTTAAATAAATAGTTTAAACAGCGATTGGCATGAATCTATGATTAACTCCAAAAATTTTTGAGCATTGACTGGTAATACTGTTATAAATGTAGTTTGATTAGGTTGCCCCGGAATAGCATCTATTTGTATAACTAGTGATTGGATAGCTTAGGTGAAATCAATAGGTAAGTCGGTGGCTGCATACCTATATTAATCGAATGTTAATTCTTGTAGAAGTTACTAAACGATTATCTACTTCAAGGAGTCGATAATACTCTAAATGTAATTGATTTATAAGGGTTCTATAAAAATCGAATTCAAAGTTATGAAAGTCTCTATTGCCTACTCATAGAATTTGTTACATAACTGGTGTAAATAAATTATGAAAATAATAATAAATACATAATTGTATAATTGGTGTTCAATAGTTTTTTTTATAGTGATGAATGGGTTAAAAGACTCATCTATAATATGCAAAAAATTTATGGCAGAGCTAAAAATACTAATGCAATCGTCGGTAAAATTGTTCAAACTGTTAACATTTTTTGTGCTTCATAGATAAATCTATGTTGATTCTTTTTTTGCGATGTCTTTGATTTACTCGATATCGTGTTGAGAGATTTTCAAACACTTAATTTTCCGTTATAAACTAAAGTTTTTGCTCGTTTTCCTTCAATAAAACTATCTATAATTAAATTTTCCTGACGTTTTTAAAATTTTTGAAAAATTTTGTTGCTGTATTGTATTTCCGTTCTTTTTGCAATTTACTACGAATTCAACATATTTTTATCATCTGAATAACCGATCTGAATAACAAATTTCAACGGTTTTCTTTCATCTACAAATCATCAAAAAATTTTATTACGACTACAATTCAACAAACGTTTTTCAAAGCTACTTATTCCATCCATTTCGCAATTTGTTGCTTTTGTCAAATATTTTTTGCAGTGACAACCAAATGAACTCGCGAATGCCACCCAAAACTTCTCTTCGTATTCCAAAAATATGTAGAAAAACCATGTTTCAATTAAATATTTGGAGCTCGCGTTCGACACGTTCAGCAATTTTTTTTTCTTCATATTATAATACAACTCTATCAAACGCAGAACTGCTTACCTACATGTTATTCTATACTTATAGTTAAACTTTCGTGCTACAAAGGCTGTACACTATCCACAGTACACGACGCACATAAACATTATGTATGCACGCGCAAGCACCGCATCACACGGGTATGATGGTCTTTGAGTTTCGGAGACAGTATTCGAACCATGCCATCGCGTAATAGCATCGCGAGACATGTCATTTTTACTGACTGAGCTAACTCGATGACCAATAACTTACTATCCGCAATAACCTTACGGCTCTAGGAAAAAGAACCAGCGTTGACAAACGCTTGGCCAAATTAAAATGTGGTCTCGTAAATGCATGGTCCGCTGTCAACAAGGCCGCCCTTCTGATCGACGTCATATGTGATGAAAAAGTTCGACTTCCTATGGTTACTTCCAGACGTGGTGGTGGCTTGGCTTTTGTGTACAACAACTTACTGAGGACAACACCCATAAACAATGAAAATTTTTTTGTAATTTTGTAAAGTTCAACACTTTTTTGTCGTCAGTCATTTATCTCATCAATTTACAGACCACCCGGTCCTGTTTTAACAAGCTTTCTTGATGAATTTACTAATCATCTAGATTTCATCATTGGCCATAATCTAGCGTTTATCATCCGCGGCGACTTCAACGCACCAGCACCTCTCTTGGGTGCGTTTGTCATCACCTATCTTCATTATTAGAATCCGTCAGTATCACTCAACACATCAACTCCTCTACACATGTACATTTCTCATACCAAAAACAACATTGTAGATAACCTAACTGTTAATGATTGCGTTTTTTCAGATCACAACATTGAGTTCTTCGACTCAACGCTCTTCAAACCACCATCGACAATCATCCATAGCTGTCGTCGCTGCACGTCATTACATGTCATTCGAAAACGATTTAAACGTGGCATCATCTCCAAACTCAACTTTAAATGACATCGTAAACTAACACGCACTAGGCATTATTCGTTTTGTGAGAGCTCCCAAGAAGCAATAGCGGCTAAAAAATTGTAGTCGTATGGAGCGTCACTACAAATATGAAAAAGCAGCGCTCAACTTCGTCAGCTACAAAAATACTAAACGTGTTGCTCTTGATGCTATTGTGAGGTCTAGGATCGATTCTATTAAGAACACTTATAACAACTGTAACAACTCTCTTGATCTCTAGCTTTCTCTTAACAACATTCTTTAAAAACGCTCAGATCATCATTTTACTGATGCTGAATATCTTACTCTTGTATCTTCTTATGCTAACTTTTTCAAGGACTAAATAAATTCTATTCACCAATCTATTGCTACAACAATTGCTTCTTCTAACATTTCTTCTTCAAACCATAGACCATATTCTTCCTCTCTTTTCTTCTTTTTCAGTTGTTGCTACAAAAGTTCTAAAGCTCATCGACTCTTTGCCCAACAAAACCTCACCATTCGACATTATTCCAATTTTATTCTAAACAAATTTTCCCATCTTTTTGCTCCATTACTTTCTATGCTCGGCAATATTTTTCGGGAAAACAATACTCCATGAATCATCTGACCTTTTTAATTACCCTCCTTTTTCTAACTTTCTCTAAATTACTTGAACGCATTGTCTTGAACAGGATTCTCATTCATAATACTTCATCTCCTAATTTCCATCCTCTTCAATCAGCTTACAGAGAATGTTATTCTACAGAAACAGCACTCCTTCGTGTTCAAGACCAACTTGCTAACATATGTGGAAATCAAAATTGTGCTGTCATAGCCAACCTGGATCTTTCAGCAGTTTTTGATACTGTTATAACTGGCCGGTCGACGACGAGTTCGTTTAATTCCAGTGAAAAATAAAGACAATATAACTTCCTAATTATCGATTTACTTATTTACAAAACAATAGTTAATTACTTAATTGATTAATTAATAATCAACGCTAATTAATTTTACTAATAAAAGTTGATATTCACAAACTATCAAATTAACGTTCAGAAACTATTGCTTTCCGAATAACAATTCACTAACGTTTATCGAAAATACAAAACAATAGTTAAATAATCAACGCTAATTTATTTTACTAATAAAAGTTGATGTTCACAAACTATCAAATTAACGTTCAGAAAATATCTCGCTGTCGTAAGCATGGATATAATCAGGCATAAAAATTAATTTATTACAAAAACTGTTTTTTGTTCTATAGAACAAGCATCGTCGTTGTCTTCTTCAGCGTCTTTGATTAATCGTCTGATCTGAAATTACCGCTTGCGAAGTTTTTGTCTCGTTTGCTGTTTTAAATTAGATTTCGTATTGCATTTTATATATTATATACTATATTTAGTCCATTTGAAAAAGAAAAGGTATTAGTATAATTTTCTGCATTTATACATTTCGTTTTATACATTTTACATTCCTACATAACATACTACATAGTATGTATGTATATTGTATATGTATGTATTACATACATATACATACAGATACACATACATAAGTAGTTAAGTACACATGACATGACATTGAGATTAAACTATTAGAGAATCTTAATTCTTAACTTGTCAAAATAATATTAAAAACAATAATATATTTTTAATTAGAAAATATATGCTTAGTATTTGATTTGACAGACAGACACAGATTTTCAACCAAATCAAAATGCCTGTGTGTTCCATTACTTACAAAATGCAACTCATCTTATTAAGATGAAAAAGATACTTTACACTGGTTTATTTAATTTAGTTAGACTATACTATATACTATACTCTAGCTATAAAGTATATCACTATACAATATAATTATAATAATCAGCAAACAATTATATATAATAATATAATATAATAGTAATAAATAATATTAGTAACATAATAATTGCATTAAATGGTAACTCAAAGTTGTATAAATAATTTGTTCAAACTGCCAAAGAATGATATTAAGGGAACAATGCATTAACAATCATTAACAACATTGCCAATAACAGACTATTAATAAACTATTCCTAACATTTAATAAACAGATTTGTCATGTAACAGAGAGGCAATTAAAAATAGAAACCGAGCAACATAAAATGAATACTGAATAGGTAGTTTCAAATGTTTTTAAAAGGTTGGCCAATGAAAATTTATTAAATCTCAAAGAACATATAACAGATACATTTAATGGATTAAATAATCATTATTTTTGTTTACTTAAACTTATTGCAAAAACATATATAAATGTACGTTCGTTTCATTTTGCAAAAACCACAAATCAAATAAAGATCCGTTCTAAATTTCATAAGTTAATACATTTCAAAGGACAATAAAATCATTTATCAAAGAAAAGATTTATCAACCATTTGTAAATTTTGAATTGTTTGATTTACTTAGTAATTATATTTGTTTCATATATATACTAAACAATCTTTTGCTATCTATTGGTAAAATCTGTATTTTTTATTTGGTCATTGTTTTCATAAAACCCGTCACTCTAACATCTTCATTATTTTATATTTCATTTATTTTTTTATCTATGAAATCATTATTTTCAACATATTTTAACATACTTTAACATGCTTCAATCATATTTCATTTCTAATTAAGTTTTCACATTTGATTCATTCAATTGAAACAATAATGCATCAACAATTATTTCAATTCTTCATTGTTTTGGAATTTGTTTTTTTCATTCAAAACATTTAACAATTGACCTTCAATTTTTTATTCCTGTCATAATTAGTTTTTGAAATTATGCTGACAACAAAAAATTTTTAATATTGTAAATATAAATCAAATCCCATTTTTGAAAAATGTTCATCATACCTTTTTATATATTCATCAACTAACAAAATTATTTTCAAGACCTTCTTTACCTAACATGCATGCCTTTATATCCAATCATTTAATGTTATCAAATTTTTGATATTAATTTAAACATGCATTTTTTAAATCTCTTTATAATATTCAGTATTTTTCTGCAAGAGTTTATTATTGCATTCTCATCTGCATTTGCAAATATCTGATTATTAATCTACATCATAATTTTACCGCAGCAATATATTAACTAGTTTCAAGTCATCATTATATCAACTTTTTTCATTCCAGAATGTAAACTTATCAGTTTTAACCCTTTCCTTACATTATTTGTCAGTTTTAATAATTCATTTTTTTATCTAATTCATTTTTTCATACAAAATATAACTTTTTTTGAGATAAACTTTAGATAATGTTATATCAATTGGAAGTTTCTATGAAAAAAAGATATCATTTCATTTCATTTACATTTTTAATAAAATATTTTTAAACATTTGTGTCTCTTTGTTGTCAAATTAGTTGTTATTGACTTATGTAAATGATTTTCTTTTAAATATAAAACTATCTTTATTTTAATCGCTAAAAGTAAAGTATTGAAAATACATTGAAACAAATTTATTTAAATATTACTTATTTTATCACTGATTAAATGTAGAATTAACAGTTTGCTAAAAACAGTCCATTTCATATCCATGGCATAACAATATATAGGCAGATTAATCATTAATTTACTCCGGCTTTTATCAACAACTGGAAATTATTAAAATTGAAAGCAGACATTTTCCAATTTTTTATATATACAATACAATTTCAAGAGACAACATGAAAGTTTATGAAATAAGGTTCATCTTCAGATGATTATATATTCAAAAAAAGGTACTCAAATGTATGATTGTCAGCTATTGTTATTACAGTAATTATGAGCAGTCATACATTTGGCATACATTCTCATTAATTTACAATCACGTTTATAACTTTTAATAAAATAAAACGTAAAGACAAATTAATATGAACGAATGAATAATTGTGATTATTTTTTTTTATATTCTTTAAAAATCAGGATCTGACAGACGCAGAAACTGTAACAACATGCAAGGCAGTAAAACAAAATTAAACAAATAAGTGAGAAAATAAATACAAAAAGTGAGGAAGAGAAATGATAAAACATGAAAAATAAAATATGTTAGAATAAAATAAATAATGATAATAAGAAAAATAAAAGAAAAGTAATTGACGATGGAATATAAAATGAAGTAACGGCAAATTGATAGACTAGATGATGACTTAGTGAGGTGATCGATAAATAAAAACTAGGCCTGTGAGTGAAAAAGTTTTAATGAGTATTAATATGTTTGATGACTTATTAATAGACTAAATGATGACTTAGTGAGTTAGTGAGGTGATCGATAAAAGTGAGGTGATCTGATCAATAAGTAAAAACTAGTTCAGTAATGATAAAGTTTTCTTAGGTGCTAATATGTTTGAGGTGCCATGTGATGAAGATCTTTTCCTGGTATGTAGATTGGGCGTCGACTTGGTAGTTATGTTTGCGCTGACGAAGGTTGTGTGTTGTAGTTTTGATTGATGGTAGTAGAGGAAGGATGACGTGGTTGTTGTTATTTTCTATTTTCTTGAACAGCCTTGAATCGAGTGGGTTGAATATCTGAGTGACGGTAGGATATGATGCAGGTAGGTAGTTGAAGCGAATTAGCTTTTTGATGAGAGATTGTAGTTGCTGAGGTTGTTGTTGCGTGGCAAAACCACACCAGGAGGAAGCTGCATATTTGATGCGTGAGTGATGAGTGATTCGGTGATGTCGAATAATTTGATGCCTCTGAGACCATGTGAACGGAGTGTTTTGAGTGCGTGAAATGTTTGAAAGCCTTTTGTGATGATGTAATTGATATGAGGTGCTATATGGAGTGTGGAGGTGAATATGATGCCTAATATTTTTAGTTGATTTGTGCGAGTGATTGATGGGTGTTCAGGAGGTAATGTTATTTTTTACGGCTATTGTGAATGATGAGTTCGAATGATTTATTGAGATTAAGTGAAAGGTTGCATCGTTTTGACCATGTGGTTAATGAGTCGAGTTCTGATTGGATGGTGTTTGAGTTAGATGATGGGATTATAAGGTAAGTGTCGTCAGCGTATTTGATGATTTGATTAGAGCTGTGAAAAGTTTTGAGAGTAGAAGCGTTGATGATAAAGGTAGATGGACCAAGGACAGAACCTTGAACTACGCTAGAGTTAATAGGTAGAGTAAATGAAAGAGTAGAGCTAAAAAGAGTAGAATGACTCCTATTAGATAGAAAATTAATTATGATATTGTAAATGTTGTCAGGTAGTGGAAGAGAGGCTAACTTATTTGAAAGTGAGAAGTGAATGAGAGTGTCAAAAGCTTTAGAGAGATCGAGGGCAATAAGATGAACATAATTATTATTTTTAAGGAAATATGTTATTGTGGAAGTAAGAGAGATAATGGCGGATGTAGATGAGCCTGTTGGGCGAAATGCAAACTGGTCTTGTAATAGTGGTTTGATGGATGGATGGTTGAAACATGGATAGATGAATGACCTAACAATGAATTTTTCTAGAATACGTGAGAGAATGGGGGTAATAGATATTGGGCGATTATCAGAATATCCATTGCATAGCAGAGTGAGGGATAACAGTGCAACTTGTAATTTTGGAAATTAGTATCAAAAATGCCCAACGCAACTGAAACACACCAGCAACGTTAGCAATCAAACATTACCAACTTAAATTGCTAGTTTTTTAAAGCGAAATTCTTATTTGGTAATAACTCAACTACGGAAGCTATGACGATAATCAATAACTAGACGATATTCTAAACATAGATAAAAAGCTAAATGTTTTTTTAAATTAGTTTTCATTGATGTTTTTGGTTCTATGGATCAAGATTTTTAGCAAAAATTTATTTTAACTGATGTATGAATATATATATATATATATATATATATATATATATATACATATGGGATTTGCCATATCCATTATATATATCCATGGTCGTAAGGTAATGTTCCTTCTCGAACTGTATGCGTTCTTAGCGACATTAGCCTTCTAGCGAATATATTTGTGACGTTTATAATAACAATACCATCAATCATCAGATGCTTATTGACAGACTTGAGGCAGAATATGGCATCACGGGATTCCAACTTTTCTTCTAGCTTCACCTTATCTACTGGAGTTCCACAAGGATCTGTCCTTGGTCCCATTCTTTTCACTACTTACAACTCTCCTATTTTTAATATTATATTATATATATCAGCACGGGGAATAAAATTCGAAAAATCAAAATTATTAATAAATCAAATGTTCAACGTTAATGTGTCCGAAATATCCAGTAAACCAAAAAAAAAACAAATTAAAACAAATTAACAACAAAAAACCAATGACCAAAGATTATCCTAAACTTGAGATTTAAATGCCAATCATACATAATATTACCAAAAAGTAGCAGAACGACCTGGTATAAATCCAAACTTGCTAATGGAAAATAGAGCATTTTTTATAAAGGGATTCATAATATGATACTTGATCAAGGATTCCAAAATCTTACAGCACTAGTCGATAATTTTGTGCCAGATCTCTTTGTCCCTTTTTTTTGCAGAGAAACAATGTGACTAACTTTTCAGTCATCTAATACTATACTTTCGTCAACAGAACGGCGAAATAAATTGCTTATGCTGTAACAGATACACTTTCTTAATTTCCATAAAACTCGGGGGTCATCAGCCTTTCAAATTTAGCAAGTACTATAGCATCATCGATTACTAAATCATTCATTAGAAAAGCAAAATCTCTGGAGCCGAAACAGGTCTTTTTATCAATCATTGTATCCTCGTTATAAACAGAAAAAAGAAGTTAGCAAATTCTTCGGCTTTTATCTTAGCATCTGCTACAACTCTTCCGTCCACTGATAATAGACCCACACCTTCTTTACGTCAAGTGACTTTTTTGACATGATTCCAGAATAGCTTCGGTTTAGTTCCCGAGCGATTTTTTTCTGAGACTGCAATTTCAACAATCTAGTAGTTCTTTTTATTTTATTTCTAATTATCCGATATTCTTTGATTTTGTTTTCACCATATCTAAAAATCGATCTCCAAATTATATGTTTTAGTTTTATTAGTTTCTTCAAATCATCTGTCATTTTAAATTTAAAATTATTATTCTTAGTTTTACCTGGTATAAATTCATTTATGTTTGCACAAAGTTTGTCTTTAAATATCTTTTACTCACTTTCAACATTCGCATCTTTGTTAAACAAATTATTTACTGATGGCAATAATGCCGCCTTTAATCCATCATAATCACCCAAATCAAAACAATTTTTATGACTCCTTTTAGTTGAACAAATGATACCAGCAATCATAAATTCGATCACCGAATGGTCACTGTTTCCAAGTGGAGAATAATGCTTTATATTTTTGACAAACTCCTTGGAGGAAATCACCAGATCTAGTATGTTAGCTAATTGGCCTGCTCCAAATCTCGTTAGCTAGGTTATGTGGTGCAGCGAAAATTTATCTTTGATGGTATCTAAAAATTTGTTTTCAAATTTTTCATTGCTCCCACTGCAGCTGTAAATATTCCAGTTCATCTCAAACACATTAAAATCATCAATCATCAGAAAATCACTCTGATTATTATTATCTACACTAGATGTTGGGCTTCTATAGAAAAACAGAACATTTAAAAACCTGTTTGAAATGCAATTGTTTAATGCCAAATATTCCTTAACAGATGAGTCGATAATTTCTGAAACTTGTAAAGTCTTTTTGTATTATATTAAAAGACCTCGTCTATTGATATCCTATCCTATTGATATCTTATAAATATTTAAATAACTCTGTAAATTATACTCTGACAAATTTCTAATGTTGACTATTGGTGAAATCTCTTGGTAAGAAGGAGAGGACTGGTATTGAAGGGCATAGCTGGCGATTAAAGTTTTTGTATCATTTAGGAACCTGATATTTTTTGCGATGATTTGAGTCGTTCAGAATATTTGTGAAGTATTTGTAGCATTTGTCGATGTTGAATAGTGGTCTCAGGTTTTTTGTTGTGGCAAATATTTTTTGCACGACCACCAAAATCGTAGTATACAAACTGCGCCGTGATGTCTGATTTTTTCTCTGCACGTTTTGACACTTCCTCGACAAAAATTTTGAACATAGAGAATTTGATTGTCGACGTAGTGGTGTTTACTGTTGCCGAGTTCTTTTAGATGTTTAAGGTGTTTTTTTAAAGATCCTTGATGTTTTTGTTTGTGATAATGTTTTCGTCAGTGTGGGGCTTTATAGAACCGTAATTTTTAGCATAGTAATTGTATATCATCTTTAAAATGCATTTGTGAATTTGTCTATTTTGTTGAGACTTGGTAGTAGTTTGTATTGTAGCTGGAAGACATTGGCTTCGGACCATTGGACTGGCGTTTCTAGCAATTTGACGCCAGAGATAGCTGATTCTGTTGTTTCAACTGCCGACGACGATGATAGGTGGTTTGGAGTAGAAATTATTTCATGTGACGATGTTGGTTGTGATGCGGAATCACTGTTGTTGTCCGTTGAGTCCTGGATAACTGAAGCGTTTTGTGCATTTTTCACGAGCGTTGGTGCATAGTTAGACCTTTACGACCTTTGTACTTTTTCCAGAGCAACATGATATTAAATTATTATTTTCAATATTTATAGAGTAATTGTTAATAGAATTCGAACTGTAAACGTTTGGCGAAATATTAGCGTTAGACTATTCAACTGAGTGAACAACATTAACGTTAAAAATATCCAGCATTCTTAGTATAGCACATATACCAACGTTATTAAGTATTTTATTGCAGTACGGACATTTATTTGAATTTACGCTAAATATTCCTTTAATTAAGAAAATTAAAATTAAATAAAAAACAGTATTAATTTTAAATTTAAAAAATGTCGCCATAATCCACCAAATTATTCCTATCCAAACAACCAATTAATGATAATAAATCATGTAACATATTTATTTGAGATTAATTTAATTATTCTATATGCATTTACCGTCAAAACAAGTGTTTGGATTATTAACACATGGCCATGAAATAATGTTAATTAAAACATTACTGGGAATGCTGGGTCCCGTAGTAATAGTTGTCCTCAATAAGACATGGTGAGTCCATGACATTCTCAACAGTTAGGTGCAATTTATTTGCTTTTACTTAATGGTGTAGTAATGTTAAACTGTGATGATTACGATGATGACGATTGCTTCTTCGAAGTGTGACGCCTGTATATATTTAAATAAACATATTTCATTAAACGCGATGCTTATATTATTGTTATTTAATTTTTTATTAAGATTTTCTATTTTTCTTATTAGTTTTTTATAATTATAATTTAAATTAAAAATTAGAACACCAATATTCATTATATAATTATTTATTAAGCGACGTTTAGAATTTTAAAATTCGAAAAATAGAAAATCTTAATAAAAAATTAAATAACAATAATATAAGCATCGCGTTTAATGAAATATGCTTAAATGAAAATTTGTTACCGAAATTTACTGATATTTAAATAAACATATATATATATGTTTATACTTGTTATTTGCTATGCTATATATGCGACGCTTGCTATGTGCTGTTCTATATATAGGAAGTATAGAAAGAGTATAAAAGGGAGTATAGAAATGCCATATATGCAATATATGCGACGTTTGCTACGTGCGGTTCTGTATATAGGAAGTATAGAAAAGAGTATAGAAGAGAGTATAAGATTATTTATGATAGAAAGCGTTAAGTAGATAGGGCAGTAAAAACATATATAAGACAGCGAGTTGATTTATTAGGGTTCTTGTTTCTTGGTTTCGCTTGGGTGTTATTTTTAGCTGTTAATTATAATGTCGCTTGGATCTCTGATAGTTTGCCTGATAGTTATAGTAGATAGTATTAATAGATAGTTAATTTTAATATATCGCGTGTTAATTACTACTTTGCATATAAAGACAGAGAGGTTTGATTTTGTTTTGTTTGATTTTGTTTTTATTGAATAAAAGTAGTATACACTTGAAAATTGGCTCGGCTTAATTATTTTACCTAGAGTAATGAATGTTGAAGAAGACTTGCTGATAGTTGACGAGGCTGGCGTCTCTAGTCATCAAATATGGGCGCGAAAAAACTTTAGTGTTTTCAGACCCTGAAAGGGTCTATTGTAGAGTAGCGGATCCCGGTCAGGAAAGACTCCGTCGAAGTGACGGCTCGGGTGGATATTTGTTTGCGGACGCAGTTTGGGACTGCGTGGTCCGGGATTCGAATGTCGCCCGGCAAAAATCTACAGTAAAATTCCTCTATTTTCTGGATTATAGAATGATAGTGGTATAATATCTATGTTACCATTAATTTCATTTGTTTATATATTATTATAGAAACGCATACTGTAGATTTTCGCCGGGCGGCATTCGAATTCCGCACCACGCGGTCCTTAACCGCGTTCGCATACGAATATCCACCCGAGCCTTCACCTCGGCGGAGACTTTCCTGGCTGGGATCCGCCACTTTACAATAAACCCTCTCAGGGTCTGAAAACACGGGCCGGGCGGAAGTTTGTTTGCGCCCTGCTAGCTGACTAGAGACGCCGACCTCGTTAACTATTAGCAAGTCTTCTTCAACATACATTATTTTATGTAAAATAATTAAACCGAGCCAAATTTCAAGTGTACACTTCTTTTATTCTATAAAAACAAAATAGTACAAGTCAAACCTGTCTTTATTAACAAGCGATAAATCCAAAATTAACAATCTATTAACACTATAACTATCAGGCAAACCATCAAGCGATACCAGAACGAAACCAAGCTAAAAACAAAACCTAAAATAAATAAAAAAAAAAATCGACCGACCGCCAATATCTCAAATCGCGACCTATTATATGTTTTTACCGCCCTATCTACATAACGCTTTCTATATCATAGAAAATTCTATGCTCCCTTCTATACTCTTTTCTATACTTAGAACAGCACGTAGCACACGTCGCATATATTGCTATACTCCCTATATACAAAACAGCACACAGCAGCGTCGCATATATAGCATATCAAATAACAAGATATACATACACAGAATGTCTATTAAAATATATAGATAAATACAGGCGGCACGCCTCAAAGACGCAATCATTGTCATCGCAATCGTCACAATTTCACAGAATATACAGGCGGCATATATCAATCATTATCATCGCAATTGTCACAATTTCACAATACAAATCACATCATCACATATATCTACATCTATAGAATGAGTAGACCATATATACTCAATCTATTGATGGATATATTGAAATAATATATATGTATATTATATGTTTCAATATATTTATGACTTTCCATAGTTTCAGACAATCTTATATTATTGCTAACTTGCACGTGTATGCTTTTCGCTTTTTGTCGACTAACGTGTCTTCTAATATTTCAATTAACGTTTCTTTAATAAACAATTATATTAAAAACAAACAAAGAGGTTTTTTATTTTAAACAGGTTATGTGCTCAGAACGCTTAATAAATTGTTTAGAGAAAAAGTTATTTTGAAAAAAAAGAAAGAGATTGCAATTCGTGACTAAAAGAACTTTTCCAACTATCGTTGAAGCAAGAACATCAATTTTTTTTCCTTCAAAATGGACTCAAAGCTTCAAATAAAACAGTTAAGTTGCGCAGCCGATTGGCCCATTTGGAAACGTCGTGTTCGAGATTTCATGGACTACCATGAGGGCGCACTTGATGTGATTGATGGGAAGTTGTCAAAACCAGAATTACTAGAAAATCAAACAGAGCTACAGACAAAAGATTTTAAAAATAAATCAGATCTGTTTAGAAAGGCAAACAGTTATGCCAAATCAGTAATTGCGAATGCAGTCACAGAAGATACATACCAAAAGATAATGGACAAGAACACAGCGTTTGAAGTTTGGGAGGAATTAAAAAGAAATTTTGAAGCGTCAACTAAGGACCAACTGTTCCAAGTTTGTAGGAATTTTTTCGATTTCAATTGGATAGCGGATGTAGATGTATCCGGCCAAATTGCAAGATTGAAGACCTTATGGAACGAATTAAACAGTGGGCTTCAGGCATCGGGAGAAAATAAACTACCAGTATGCAAAGCGATGCAGATTCTCCCAAATAGTTTCCAAAACTTCAAATCAAGTTGGCTAATGCTAGGTGAAGAAAAGCAGTTGATAGATGATTTAATCACTCATCTCTGTGCTTTCGAAAGAGAGATAAAGACTTTCGACACAATCGATAAATCATCAAGGCAGAACGCCTTAGTTGTAAATGTTGAAAAGCCAAGTTTTCTCAGATGTCTGGTATGTTCCAAATATAGGTAGAAACCTGTTTTCCATATTAGCCGCACAAGATAAAATTTCAAAAAACAGCAAGTTTGAATCTTATGCAACCAAATGTCAACTCAGTATAAAGAACCGAGTATTTTGCGCAGCCATGGAATCACGCAGACTAACAGCACCATATACACCTCAACAAAATGGTGGTAGTGAACGTGAAAACAGAACAATAGTAGAAATGGCACGCACATTGAAGTACTCAAATCCAGATTTTGAATTTCCAGTCGCTATTTGGGCTGAGTTATGTTCAACTGCAGTATATTTACTTAATCGAACAGGCAAGTCGTCGATTGAAGATAAAAGCCCATTTGAAATTTAGACAGGTAAAAAGCCGAGAATTAACCATTTGAGAATAATTGGCTCTACATGTTTTGTTCACATACCTGATCAAAAACGTCAAAAAATGGATAAGAAAGCCATAAAAGGTTACCTTGTTAGTTACGATGGTGACGAACGCTATCGTATATGGCTCAAAAATCAATATAAAATGATATTATCAAGAGATGTAGCTTTCCAAGAAAAACCTATGAAATGTACAACATCATTTGAACATCAGACTCAAAAAGATTTTACAACAGATCCTCAAATCAATTGCAAATCAGAAAATGACTCGAGTAGTAGAAATGATGATTCAAAAGAAGAAATTACAGATGACACTGAGAAGATTATAGATAATTCAGTTAAAGTTCAACTCAGAGATAGGTCAAGCTTGCAGAAACCTAAGAATTTAGATGATTATGTGATGCAGGCTGAGACATATTTATTAGATGTACATGAACCAGATACATATGAAGAAGCCATTCAAAGTAGGGAAAGTAAATATTGGAATGATGCCATGAATAATGAAATTAATTCATTAAACAAAAATAGAACTTGGGAACTTTGTGAGCTACCCAGAGGAGCTAAAGTTATTCCATGTAAATGGGTTTACAAAATAAAAACCTTGCCAGACGGAAGTGTAGATAGATACAAGACAAGACTTGTGGCAAAAGGATTTTCACAACGACAAAATGTAGATTACAATCAGACGTTTAGCCCAGTAGTAAAGTTGACTACAGTTCGCTCTGTACTAAGTATTGCAGCAAGTGAAAAACTGCATCTTCTTCAATTTGATGTATCAACTGCATTCCTGTATGGTGAACTTGATGAAGTGATCCACATCAAACAACCAGGATATAATGATGGCTCAAATAAAGTTTGTCGATTGCTCAAAAGTCTGTATGGTCTAAAGCAAGCACCTCGTTGTTGGAATCAATGCTTCGGCAAGTTTCTTTTTGAATGTGGCTTTAAGTCGAGTAAAGCGGATCCATGTCTGTATGTTAAAAAACAGAATGAAAACATTATGATGTTAGCATTGTATGTTGATGATAGACTGGTAGCCGCTAGCAACACAGAAGATTTAGATCTATTCATTGGAAAATTGAAGCTGAAATTTTAGGTTCCAGTTAAACCTGCAACATATTTTCTAGGTCTTCAAATAGAAACTCTATTGGATGGAAGCATAAAAGTTTGTCAATCTGGTTATGCAAGGAAAATTCTTAAACTTTTCAGATTTGAAGTATGTAAACCAGTTCACACCCCAATGCTTAAAGAAAATGATAATAATCAATCAAACATAGCAGGTTCAGAATACCCTTTTCGACAACTAGTTGAAGCATTAATGTACCTGATGTTAGGTACAAAGCCAGACATTGCGTACAGCATTAGCTATTTATCACGCTCCCTCGAGAACCCAACACCAGGAGATATAATAAAAGCAAAACGAGTGCTTAGATACTTAGCAGGAACAATCGATCAGAGCAGTGTGTACAGATCAGACAGTACAAAAGGAGTTTTACTGTGTTTCAGTGATTCAGATTTTGGAGGCTGTAAAAAGACTGGACGTTCGACCACAGGTATTGCAGTGATATATGCGGGAGGCATAATATCATGGATTAGTCAACGACAGGCCATAGTTGCAACATCTACAACAGAGGCTGAGATCATCGCTGTGACAGAGGCTGTCAAAGAAATAATTTGGCTTCAAAGATTATTCAAATCATTACAGGTTGATTTGAAAGATGTGCCAATCTTGCAAGTTGACAACAGTGCTGCAGTCAAATTAGCTCAGAACCCCCAATTTCATCGGCGAACAAAACACATTGACTTGAAGAACTTTTTTATTAGAGAAAAAATTCAAGATGGAACGGTTGATATCACACAAATTTCAACAAGTGATCAAGTCGCTGATGTGATGACAAAGCCACTGGAACTGAAACTCCTGTGTGGACATATGGGACTAATGTCATAAAATGTTTTGAAACAAGGGAAAGTATTGAGATAATATATATGTATATTATATATGTTTCAATATATTTATGACTTTCCATAGTTTCAGACAATCTTATATTATTGCTAACTTGCACGTGTATGCTTTTCGCTTTTTGTCGACTAACGTGTCTTCTAATATTTCAATTAACGTTTCTTTAATAAACAATTATATTAAAAACAAACAAAGAGGTTTTTTATTTTAAACAGGATATATATGTGATGATGTGATTGGTACGCGCTAAAGAGAAAATATTTCTATAATATATAAACAAATGAAATTAATCAATCAATCTTCGTTTAGCATCCAGAAATCCAGTTTCCCGAGGTAGGACGTTGTTTTCTTTGCCATAAATTTTTTGCGCCAAATTAGACGATCAGTTGTATCCATTTCATTTAAATTTAGAGCTTTCATGTCTTGCTCGATTGTTTGCGACCAGGACTTCTTTGGACGGCCTTTGGGACGTGAGCCAGGTACTTCAACATCTGCAAGAAAAGTTATGGCACTGTTTCCACCTCGTTTGACATGACCAAACCATCGCAGACAGTGTTGCCGGCATTAGTCCTTTATAACATCGGTAAATTCAATGTGGTCCTTCAGACTAATTCGTTGCATCCATGTTCGTTGAAGTTGTTGTTCCAGTTTGGTTGTCATTGGCCATGTTTCTGCACCATATAACAACACCGGACGTATCACAGATTTATAAAGTCTTGATTCTAGTGGTAGTGGGATGTCACGCCGCATCAATATAGAGGCAAGGAGATGCCATTTATTGCAGGCTGCACGTATGCTTGCTCGAACGGCCGCTTCAGCTGTTCCAGTACAATCCATAACATCTCCTAGATATTGAAACGATGTGACTTTCTCTACTTTAATGGCTTCAAAAACATTGCTATTTCGAATTTGTTGTTGTGGATTGATGCAAGCAGAACAAACGAAATTGGACAATTTAGATAAAGTACCATTTATTT